ATGTACACTACTCAGGTACTCAGTATCACTACTCAGGTACTCGGTATTTTATTTCTTTTTTTCTTTATATATTTATTGATTTCAGAGTGGAAGGGAAAGCGAGAAAGAGACAGAAACATCACTGATGAGAGAGAATCATTGATCAGCTGCCTTCTGCATGCCCCACACTGGGGATCGAGCCCACAACCAGGGCATATGCCCTGACCGGGAATCAAACCGTGACCTCCTGATTCAGAGGTAAAAGTTCAACCATAAGCCACACCGGCCAGGTGGTATTTTATTTCGTGTACTACCTTTTTTCCTAATCCGGTGGTTAATAGTTCTGAGGCTCCAGCCTTCTCCTGTCCTCTGCAAATGCTTTTGCACATGCTTGTTAGAAATTATTTCAAGTACACGAGGTTATTTCCCCCAAATCAGCTCTATTTTGGTCTTCTGTTGTCAGGCTTTAATCATTTTCTTTCCATTAAACCTGTCTACATTTTTTCCCCTGGGCTGCTTCAAACCAGTTATCCACCTCATCCTGTTGTCCTGTCTTCCTTTTCTGATATTAGCAGGAGTTGTGTTGCTCATGTTTCCTTGGTACCATTCTTCATGGCTCCATCCACTGATAAATTTCTATAACTCTTAGGATTTATTTTCTATTTTTTGCCTGAGTCCTTTCTTGGTGGTAGTGTGTTCTGTTGTAGTGATGTATTTTTAAATGTCAGATGGTCTAGACAGCTGTAATGAAGAGTTGTTTCGATTTTTGTTTATTTTTAAATTAGATTTCCCTGTTAAATCTGCTTTTTGTCATCAGTGGTCACTTAATGTAGGAAAGAGTGTGACTGTATTGTGAGTGAAAGTTAGTGAACACTGTTTTTGCTTTACGTAATTATTTTTTCAGCTTGTAAGTTGAAATCACTCCTTGTATCAGTTATCCTGATATTGAGCCATCTTTCTCCTTTCCTTCTATCATCATCTAATTACTTAATCTCTTTGTTTGATGGTAAACACATAACATGTGCCACGATCTGTTATAAGTATCTTACATGGACTAGTTTATTTATTTTTTATTTTATTTTTATTGATTTTTTTACAGAGAGGAAGGGAGAGGGATAGAGAGTTAGAAACATTGATCAGCTGCCTCCTGCACACCCCCTACTGGGGATGTGCCCGCAACCAAGGTACATGCCCTTGACCGGAATCGAACCTGAGACCCTTGAGTCCGCAGGCCGATGCTCTATCCACTGAGCCAAACTGGTTAGGGCTGAACTAGTTTATTTAATCCCCCTCACAACATTGTGATGAACCTAATCATTATTACACAGAGGTGAAGTCACTTGCTAAAAGTGGTAGAGCTGGAATACGAACCTGAAGTCTTGCTCCAGAGTGGACTCTATCCACTAAGCAAACTCAAATATTGAGTGTATCTCATAACAGTTGCTCTTTGCTGGGATCCTGACTTTGTTATATTTTTCAGGTCTTTCTGTGGAATTTGGAACAGTTCTAATTTACACATGTGAGAAGAGTTGCTGGCCTCAAAATCAGCAGACTCCCATGGAAGAAGTTTGTATTGTACAAGAAGACCCAGATGAATTATTATTTAAGTAGAATATTTCCATTTTTAATATAAATTCAAATAAATTTTAATGTCCAAATTTGTGTTTTTACTTCATTTTGACTTACAAGCTATTCACTCTTGTTAAGTGTTGTCTCGCTTTTTGGCACCGTGCTGGGACTGAAGCGAGATTTAGAACCTCCTGGCTGTGGGCTGGTCTACCAGGATCAGTGGCCTTTCTCCACAGGGTAAGCTTGGAATGAGGCTCCTCTGTAACCCAGAGGGCAGCTGTTCCCTGCACAGCAGGCTGGTGGGCATTCTGGGCGGGTGAGCAGCTGAAGAGCCAGGAGCAGCCATCAGCCTCTAATTACCCCTGCTGCCTCTGCCCCTCTCTGGACTCTTGCACTCCCTGGATGCTGACAGATCAGCTGCTTCAGGCTCCCACACTGTGACACTAGCTGTTTATATTGCCCCATGTTCCCCACCTCAGGCTCCCTGCCCTCACCCATTTCTACTGTGGACGAAAAAGGGGCCACATACCAAATCCGACAAGCTCGGGGGAGGCTTGCATTGTGGGCTGTACAAACTCAGGGACTGAAAGTAACCATATATGGCAGTGATGGCGAACCTATGACACGCGTGTCAGAGGTGACACGCGAACTCATTTTTTTGGTTGACTTTTCTTTGTTAAATGGCATTTAAATATATAAAATAAATATCAAAAATATAAGTCTGTGTTTTACTATGGTTGCAAATATCAAAAAATTTCTATATGTGACACGGCACCAGAGTTAAGTTAGGGTTTTTCAAAATGCTGACACACCGAGCTCAAAAGGTTCGCCATCACTGATATAGGGTGTTCTGAACATAAAAATTCCTAACAGTCAGTCATGGTGGGTAGTCATGTTTTAGGCTTATAGCTTCCTTGACAAAGGTCCTTTTTTTTACCTTAAGTAAGTCTGTCTATGTCTTTTCACATCTAAGGTAACATGCCTTTGAAATAGGAGTTATCTTTTCCAGACCCCTCAAGGCACAACTGCTGTACCAGAGCTCCAGACCACAGAACCTTCATTATCTTGTTCCCCGCATCCCATCACTGTGCTGTAAATGTTAGTTATTTACTCTCCTGTACCCACCAATGTAAAGGAAATAGGTTTCTTTATTTTGCCTTCTTATCCAACCCCAGAAATTTCTCAGTTTGCTTTTATCTTGACTTAATTTACCACCAGTGGATTTCATGTAACCCTCCTTATGTCTCCTCCTTTTATTCTGATATAAAATAAAACTACAACCTCTAGAGCATTTTTTCAATCTGTTGATAATGCTTCCTATCATCAGTTTGGCTCAAGTAAACTCATAAAAATTTTCTGAAGGTTTTGATGTCTCTTGACACTACCTTCTGCCTGTGCAGCATCATAGGAAGGGGCCCTTACTGAATTCTGGACATTGTCCTTCCATCCAGCCATCCACTTTCCAAGTTCGCTTTCCATTCACTTTTTGTTATTGACCCCTTCCATTCTGCTACCCCTTGACAGCACTATGAAAACACTCCACCCGTTTGTACAGACCTGCTCTTTGCACAGATGAGGAAACTGGATATGAACAATTTGATTTGCAACTCTGGTAAATAACACATTAGGCCCAGAGTATCATAAGATGGGGTTTTCCTGGACAGTGCATGTCTGGTTAGAACCCCATCTGATCCTTCCCCCTGGGGTGTGCTGTCTGAGGATGGGGCGGTGAAGGATTAAAGACAGACTAAGAGAATACAGCTGGGGCTCCTCGGATCTCCCATGCCTGGATGAGGACACAGAAAGAACCAGCCTGCAAGCCGATGCTTTATTTTACATCCTCATTAAAACAAGGGTAGATTAACGTGTATACAAATGTTCTTTTTTTGGCAACACTTGCTGCACCTCCCACAGCCCATTAGCTACTTAGGAAGGAATTAGGGAGGGCTACAAGGCCAGGCTTAATGCTAGGAGAGAGCTCTGCCCTCCAGGCTGGGACTTGTTTGTGGCCCTGCCACAGGTCAGCCTAAGGCTTGACCCTAGGGCTGCTCCCTACCTTGAGGCACCTGAGGGAAAGTGGCTGGCTGTGTACAAACTGAAGGTGCTGGTCAGTGAGGCTTCAGGCATGCTGGATTTTGTTGGGGAAGACAATTTCCCCTTCTAGATACTTGTCTAAGACACACCCAGCTGGTCAGTGAGGCTTCAGGCATGCTGGATTTTGTTGGAGAAGACAAATAATTTTCCCTTCTAGATACTTGTCTGAGACATCCCCAATGTAATAAAAGATTAACAGAAGAAAAACAAGTTTTAATAACATGTTATACCTCTTGTATATAAGGGAGAGACCCAGGAAAACTGACTAACTCTCAGAAATGGTGCAAGCCATCATCCTAAAGACCTTGTTCAGCTAAAGAGAAAAATTATTGGGAAACAAGGAGGGAGCTAGTAATGAGAGGTTATTAGGCAGGAAACAAAGGTAGGGTTAGCTATTGTTAAGGCAGAAAGTATAGTGTAAACGCATGTAAATGTAAAACTGCATATTGCTGTGTAAGAACCTAGATCTAGAGAGACAAAGGCCAGCAAGGGCCCTGAGGAGTAGGATTAGGACTTTTTCGGTTGTTATTTCCTGCATTTATAACCTTGAATTTGGTGGGCAAGTATTTTACACTTTACATACTCACAGAGACACATTCACAAAGAAAACCCAAGGCCCAGGGGAGGAAGAGGGAGGCAGGAGAGAAGCCAAGGAAGTGGCTCCCATTCACTGAGTATCTATAGATAGGAGTAGGTCCAGCATCTTTGGGGGGCCTCTGTTCTGTTTAGCTGCCAGGGTGGGGCAGAGCGTTGGCCTGCAGACTAAAGGGTCTTGGGTTCGATTCCAGTTAAGGGCATGTACCTTGGATGCAGGCTCGAGCTCCAGTTGGGGTGCATTCGGGAGGCAACCAACCAATGTGTCTCTCTCATTTTGATGTTTCTCTCTCTGTCTCTCCCCCTCCTTTCCAGTCTCTCTAAAAATCAATGGAAAAATGCCCTCAGGTGAGGATTAACAAAACAAATAAAAAATCAATGGGGAAAAAAAGATTTAGCTATATGCATGTTCATCATAAGAACAAAAAATAGAAAAAACAAATGGCAACAAAATAAAATAATAATAATAATAAAAGAAAGAGAAAAAAAGAATGAAAATTGGCAAAGGTTTCTATTTTTATGCAAAAATCAATAAAAAAGATTTAGCTATATGCATGTTCATCATAAGAACAAAAAATAGAAAAAACAAATGGCAACAAAATAAAATAATAATAATAATAAAAGAAAGAGAAAAAAAGAATGAAAATTGGCAAAGGTTTCTATTTTTATGCAAAAATCAATTCAATTCAGCTGCCTCCTGCACGCCCCCGACTGGGGATGTGCCTGCAACCAAGGTACATGCCCTTGACCGGAATTGAACCTGGGACCCTTCAGTCCGCAGGCCGACGCTCTATTCACTGAACCAAACCGGTTAGGGCAGAAACACCTTTTTTGACCACTCATTGGTTAAGCTCCCTGTATGCCACTGGTAATATTCTTAGTAACTTGGGTAATAAGAATCCAAAAAGGTGATCTAGGGTTTTTCACCACACTCCTGGCGAAAAAAACAAAGGTCCACTGCTGGAGGGCTAAGAAATGTCATATCCTGCCCTAGCCAGTTTGGCTCAGTGGATAATGCCTTGGCCTGC